CAAATACATTGTCTAACGAGTAAAACAAAAATTATCGTTATATTACAGTTAGTTTCTTATATGAAATCTTGTTTTCTTAATAACAAAGTCTAGCAATAATTGATTACTTTATCGAAACATTCCTTTGTCTTTAATGAGACCATTAATATCAAAATTATTACAATTTATTAGTTGTTTCTCTAAATTATTTAATAATATAGTTCTCAGAGTTCTTAGAGTTGTTAGCATTTAATGAGTGCCTCTTTAGACGACCCCAAAGAATACCAAACGACCAAATGATCAATAATTATGTTGTCATCCATACATTTATTTCTATCATATTTTGCATTATTATCATTGTTTGACATTTATTTTTCATTTCACTCCAGTATTTGTATATAAAAACAAATTTTACTATTTGTAAGAAATTTATGAAAACACACATTTATATTCAGTAGATTCAGAGGTAAAGAATTGATTTATATTTAATGAAATTATATAAATAAGAAATATCTCACAAATACAGTAATATTGTGTGTATTAAGTATTATAAGGTATTGTGAGAAAAACAAAATGTTAAAAAAAATTGTTGCCTATTGCGGATCATTTGTAATAATATCCATAGTTAACTTACAATTAGTTTTTGCTGTTTTAGCAAAACATACAACACGTAGTTTAATACAAGCTTTAATGTCAATTTTAGGAATCTTAAATATCGGAATTCTGTGTCAATAAAAGTACCCTAAGCATGTTTACTTTCATTATAGTCAATATATGGTATATTATTTGTTCGTAATTAATGATCAAAGATTTAAGTTGTCATATAATAACATAACATTTGAGGTGATATTATAACTCATAATAAATTTTTAAGTGCCTGAGGCACAAGCCAATAGAGATCAAAATCCATTATGATTCAAATATGATTGGCAAATTTGAAAAATCAACCCAGCTCATTTGATGACCTTCTCATTAACAAAACTGGACAGTTTTCTTATTGGACAAATTGTAATAAAACTTTTATTAAACACACGTCATAATAAGCTCTGGCGACTTAAGGGATAAGCAAAGTTTTAATTAAAGATATTATGCAATAATGATAAGTATAAGCGAGAGATTATGACAAATGATGGGAATAATGAGAATAAGGCATCGGCATTATTCAAGGTTGGTAAAATACAAAAATATTTTTGTACAATGCATAATACAAAAATCCTTGTATTAATCATGTATTATTACTTTCTATTGGGGAAATTGACATAGTTTATAAATTAAAATTTTTTAAATTTTATTATTCTCACTAATTACCAGTATACATCCTGAACAATCCTATAAACCACATTATTCAATGCTGAATTGTGGTTTAAAATGTAGACAAAAAGAAAATTAATGGTGGAGAGAATATATTTGAAAAATGTTCTTTAATAATTGATTTTTATCTAAATATACGATTTAAATAATAATTAGTTTTAAACCATTTTTGATGTACAATATCGATTTACATTAAGGAATAATACAACTAACTATAGAATTCAAGCTTTATATTTTTACCAACCCTAGTATCAATATTAATATTACTATACTGTACAGTACTATACATGGTATTAAAGTTACAATCACTACATTGCATAGTCAGTCATCAATAAATATTAAATGAATATTAATTATCTGTAAAATTAAATGACTTTTTCATCTTAAATACATAAAACATAATTTACAAAAAATAATTTATCGTTAATTAAATCAATGAAAGTCTCATCTCATAGAGAGTGAAGTGAATGTGAGAGTGAATTGAGTGCCTGTACTGTACTGTCCTGTACTGTGTGTATGAATGGTATGAATATGAGTGCCATCTGTGGTAGCATTGGGTGAATGAATGCATTTTGAAGGCAATACAGTGTTTGAGTGCATGTATTGAATGGATGTATTGAATGGCCATTTCATTGACCAAACAATTGCCAAAACATTTGACACACTTTACTACTTACGCCATCTGGTGTGTGAGCTTTTTGGGTGGAACGTGCCGGGCATATGCCGGGCACGTGCCGGGCATATAAGGGCATATATATTAAATGCCGGGCATTTTTTCAACCGTAATAGAGAGTGAAGTGAATGTGAGAGTGAATTGAGTGCCTGTACTGTACTGTGTGTATGAATGGTATGACTATGAGTGCCATCTGTGGTAGCATTGGGTGAATGAATGCATTTTGAAGGCAATACAGTGTTTGAGTGCATGTATTGAATGGATGTATTGAATGGCCATTTCATTGACCAAACAATTGCCAAAACATTTGAATGCGTGAATCAATTGTGCATTAATTGTAGTTGAATTTCGGCACACATTTGAGTCTTACAACTGGTTTAGTGAGCGATCGATGCATTGGTTGTGAAAGTGGTGTCAATTGTATGGCAAATGTTGTGCAAAGTGTGAGCCATAACTAATGGGCTCTCAATTGACCAAAAATAGTGACACAAATCGTAATCCAAACAAAACTGTCAACAAATCAAACCCCAAATCAAGAGATTATATCAATAATCGGCGCAAGAGTTCCGTGGATTCGGTGTCTACTCCTGAGTACATCACATCCACTGCCATCGAAGCCATCGGAAGCACTCAATCCGATACCAAAACACACATTACTGGCCACAGAAGCGATCACAAGATACCCATTCCCGCAGAGATTGTGGTCGTGTCCGACGGATCAGCTATTGAGGACATCCCGCCGACGATAGCGTTTCCGCCATCTTTCAAGCCATTGATTCCCATCGGTTACGAGTCGTTGTCTCATAATTATCCACAATTAAAGCCCGAATATGTCATCACATTTGGTCTGATTATCGAAAGGCATTTGAAGACTAAATCAGAGTTTGTGGCCAAAGAGCAGCAGAAGCTCATCGACCGGATCAGAGACTTGGACTCAATTGTCTCTTACATATCAAATCAGTTTATTATCGAAAGACAGAAACGTCTCATTAAAGTGTCCGACAATTTGTTGAAAGTCGAGGAGATTTCGGCATTAATTGAAAAGTGCGACAAAGATATCGATAATTGTGTGAAAAATTTTGAAAAACTGAACCAATTTTTACCCAAAGCTTTAGCCTTAGAAAAGTTTGAGTTTCAAAAGAGCTCATAAATTAGTGAATTATTTGTGTTATTATTATTATTGTGTAATTGTATTGTAAAGTGTGCCCAAAATGTCATCTCCTTCTCCGGGCCCGCTATCGACCGCACAAACAATTGGTAATATACCCGCGCGAAGAGTGAGCAACAGTTTCGTAGGCCTGACAGGTCTGGGCGATGGCGGTCGCCAACAGACGGGTCCGCTCACACCTCCGCTGTCACAACATTCACAACACTCTCCGAACTCGTTTTTGGCCGGACTTTCATCGCGTTTGTTCACAAATAAGGGCCGATTACCTGATCTCCTGGACATCACATCTGGTTCTCTGTCTAATTCAAATCTATTAGGGTATAGGAATTCAATGCACACTTTCGGTGTTGTGGGCGGTTCTGTTGGCGGACCGCCGGCGCCGTCTCTCGACATGACTGAATTTCCAACACTCACCGGAAGCAACTCTAACAATGTATGTCCACATATCACTGCCTCTGTTTTCAATTGTATTCATATGCAATGGTTTTCTCTGTTCATAGCTATTATCCCAAAGCAACGCTTCGGGTCGACCGGCATATGTAGGTATGGTTAAGGACAACGTGACCAACAATTCCTCATCAAATGAGTTCAATATACAAAGTGAAGACTTTCCGGCACTTCCCGGCTCTAACCCTAACCTCCACTTCGGCGGCAGTCATAACGAAAACTCTTCGCTAAGCAGTGCGTCGACTGTCATGTCTTTGGGCGCCAATAACATGACGGCAGGAATGGGTCATCACTCGGGTCTCATCAACAACAGCGGCGCCGGCGATGCGAACGTGAAATACAAACGAGGAATTCAGACCAACAAAGAGGGGCGGGTGACCAACATTCCCATCGGAATGGTCACCGACCAGTTCGGAATGGTTGGCCTCTTGACCTTCATTAGAGCCGCCGAATCCGACCAAAGCTTAGTGTCGCTGGCGTTGGGAACAGACCTGACCACTCTTGGACTTAATCTCAACTCTAATGAGTATGTTTTCCACTCCTCTTCTTTTTGTTAACACATTTTTAATTAACTTTTTTTTGTGTGTTTGTAGACCATTGTATCAAACATTTGCCGGTCCGTGGAGTGACCAACCACTGAAACCCCCGGAAATTGGTATTTAAGCACTGATTGTTATTATTGTATGAAATGTATTGACACTAAGATTGCATTGTTGTTGTGTGAAGACTATCCGGTGCCCACCGAATACCTGATCAACGCGTCCATCAGAGATAAGTTGGCGCCACTCAAACTGAACCGCTATGGAGACGACCTGTTATTCTTCCTGTTCTATATGTATGCGGGAGATATCATACAAATATTAGCCGCCAGCGAATTGTAAGTGACCGTCGGGTCAGACCATTGATTGTGCGCACATTAAGCTTAACATGTATTTTGGTTTAGATATGTGAGGGATTGGCGATACCATAAGGACGAGCGTATTTGGATAACTCGAGCGCCGGGAATGTTGCCGCAGGACAAGCAGCAGACGTACGAAAGGGGCACCTATTACTTCTTCGACGCCCATAATTGGCGCAAAGTTGCGAAGGAATTCTGCCTTTTCTACGACCGGTTGGAGGACAGGCCGGCGGCCGCCGCCTTCTCCAGTGCGCCGGTTCTCAGTTCATGAGCACTGAATTTTAATCATTGAAATTCGCTATTAAATAATAATAACACTTTTTTAATTTTAATCAATACATTGCGTGTGTTTTTTCCTCTCATTTACAATAATCTCGGCTATAATTTAGGTTTTTGTGCTATTTTTACAAATTTATTTGTAATGAATTTTATGGGCAAAAGTATTTGAGATCAAAAGAGTATTCTCTTAATTGTTGGTTAATTGTTTTCAAAAGCGGAGCTTTTGTTTGACAGCAAACACCGTTAAAGTCGTCCAAATCTAGTGCCCAAACCATTGCTCCGCCGAGACTGTGAGCGACGATAAACTTGCTTTTCTGTACGATATGCTCGATATCGTCGTAACCGACCCATTGGTTGTTGTGATAGGCGTACGGACCCGTTATCAATGGTTGCCCTCTAAGCGCGTAAGTATCGGTTCGTTTGGTCCAACCGTTGTTCAAAATATTGGTACAAATCTCATAGTAGGCCAGAAAACCATTCTCTTTGGTATAAATGCCTTCAATTCCCGTCCCGTTGACCGGCGACCCGAAGTCGTTGTTTGAATTTTGATTCAGTTTGAATGTTCGCCCGTAAAACGGAATGCCCATGATTACTGGTGTTACCAAATGTCAATTTATGTCACTATTTCTCTCCCATTACTTATTTGTGAGAAAATTGTTTTGTAGATTAATTTAAGGCCAGAATAAGATTGCCAGCGAAACCCTATACCTTATTCAACCGATACTCTATTTATATGACAGTATATCTTATTTCATACACTTCTAGATTAACCGTTATTTATAATGTGTTTATATTATCGATTGCAATACAAATATCATGATAAATCAATTAAAAATAATAGCACCTTAAATTGTACAAATAGATATCAAATTATATAAAATAGTATATTCTGGAAGTAAGATAATGGTGAGTTGAGAACCGACTGATTCGAGTAACTAGTAAGTAGAGTCTAGACAATTAACTTGTGGGCCAACTCGTGGCTATTATACGTATAGTCGCTATAAATTACTAGCAATACTTTTCTATACATTTCACACTCGTTTACAGTACAAGAATATGTATAAGAATTATGTACAAGAATAGAAAGTAATTTTTGTAGTACTTTTTATAGTAACATATTTTGTAATTTCACATTTTGACAGCAATAATAGACACACCAAACGATGGAAAGGTCATAATGAACCATGGACCATGGTCAATAATCAATAGTGTACTTTACAGTATAGTTTATTTCACTAAAAGCGCAAACGAGTATATTTTATATTATTTTCTTTTTCCTCAACTGCTTCTCGACTAGAAATTAAAGCTAAAGCTGTGTCAACAATATATACTCTATTCATTCAATATTTATTCATATAAAGAGAGAGAGAGAGAGAGAGAGAGAGAGAGAGAGAG